TAAATACTCAGATATGGTAAATTCCATTTTACTTCTGCTATTTTTCTTTGCCACCAATTGAATGTGAGTGGAAATCCATAGTACATCACATGTCATCTATGTGACCCAGGGAAAGTCACTTAACATTGAGATTCCAGATATTTTTGTCTATAACATAAATAAATATCAACCTACTATTGCTATTTTGAAGACTAATTTATGTATATGTAAAGCCACTGGTTCAGTGTCTGGCCCACAGTAAGTATTTGTTATTTTCATTGCTTTTTGTCTTTACCCACGGTTGCAGTTGCCATTCCCTTCTCCCACCTCTACCCTGAAAGAGGCAGCCATATTTTAAGAATGAGATGGAATTCATCCAATGGGTACATGCATTCTTTATAAACAATTACCTATATGTACATACACAGATAAACTCACATACACAAACCTTCATAATCACACACACACCTATTTTCATAAGTAAAAACTATACTTGCTAATCATATTGTGTGAAAATTTTACAATGGATGACTTTAAGAAAATCACATGATACACACACACACACACACAATTTCATATACATAAACCTATTCTGTAACACTGCTTACTTAAAAGTTCACACATAATCTTATTGAATAGTGACACTCCATTTCTCATTCTTGTTTTTCTGTGTAAGGACAAACTCTCTCTCTGTAGAACAGCACTCTCTTGTAAAGTAAGGAGAGAAAACCTGAACTTAACTTGGGGGTTAAGCAATCAGCCAGCTGCCTAAATTACCTGCAGGAACTTGTAGATCATCTCAGAATATAATTCTGCCTGGGAACCTCTCCTTCTAGAAATATTAGTTCACAGTCCACTGACACATTGGGAAAAATCTTATAATTCATTATGTCACTTTTTCTGCTACTGCCTTTTCATTAATGAAAGGAAATCAACAACTAAATATAGGAATGTGTTTGGGGCCACTTTTTGAGCTTCAAAGTGAGTAATGCAACTTTTTTGATGTTTCTGAAAGGTATGAGAAAGTTATAAGAAGAATAGGCACTCTCTGCACCTCTGCAGATTCATGCTTTGTGTAAGCAACAGGGGTGTGGGCAAGTAGGAAAGACGGAAGAAGAGGACATTTGGGGGCATTTGATAGAGTAGACAGAGACCTCTGATTAGCTCTCTGTTGCTCGTGGAGTCCCAGTTATATTTTCCTACCATGAAGTCTACATTTATCAGCCTAAATCAAGATTGTAAAGTATCCATTCCTCACTTTATGTAAATTGTACAAAATGAAATTCTGACAGGGGTAGAATCCTATTAAAGTTTCAAACATATTTCAGGAAGAACTCTTAAGTAAATCAAGGTCAACGAGGTGTCTAAATCTAGCTTTTCACCTCTTACTTTCTTGTGGCAGCTTTATGTATTTTTGACTTTTTACTTACTTTAATGCCTTGCAGCTCTCAGTACCACATGTCAGCAGCCAGAATAAAACCTGTAAGAGAAGCTGAGAAGAACTGGGGCTCAAATGAAGAATTGAGGAACTCTGTGTTCCTTTGAAACAGTTTAGTTCTTCTACCAATGACATTTGGAACAAATTGTGTTTATCGCCAAAGTGAGGGGAATAAAAGTTTGACAGAGTGAGTTACCCAGGCAATTCTTAACTTCTACATGTCAGTGCTATTAAAGATAACATATTCTTCTCCCACAATATTCCCAA